CAGTTCGGCTGCTGGCTCGCCTGCCGAAAGCTCTGTATCCCCCGCAGAGCTTCCCTTGCTCTAGAGCAGCACGCAGGGTTCGCTCTGGTCCTTGAGAAGGTGGCTTGGTCCAGCTCAGCTGGGGGCTCTCTGCGTGGGACGCAGCCCAGCTCTAACCGAAGTGCCGCAGTTGGCCTGTCCGAGGCCACCTCCTCCCGTGGGTTTGGTGCCTCTGGCGTCTTCTGTGCCCTGCGGAAACCTTTTTGCTGAGCATGCAGGGTGCCTGGGAGCTGGCACCCAACTCCTGCTGACACCCCTCGTCCCTCCTAAAATACCAAGCTCCGCTAGATGCCACCCTGAGGAGCATGGTCAGGGGACCGGCAGCGTCATGCCTTGTTCCCTGCCATCACCAGCAGCTCTCCCGTCCCTTGCAGGTGCTGTGGCGGTGGCGGAGTTCATCGCGGAGAGCCCGCGGCTGCTTCGCCTGGATCTGCGAGAGAACGAGATCAAGACGGGCGGCCTCATGGCATTGTCGCTGGCTCTGAAGGTCAACCACTCGCTGTTGCGCCTCGACTTGGACAGGGAGCCCAAGAAGGAGTCGGTAGGTAACGCACCCGCTCCCCCGCCCCTCTCTTGCCCTTTCGGGGGGTCTCCTCGTTGATCCCCCCCCGGCAGGAGAATGCCATTGTTGAGGGTGACTCCTCCAAGCTTCTGCTCGGCTCCACCGCTGTCCCATTTTTCAGCTGAAATTAATTCCTACCCAGCTTGCAGCCATGTGGTTTTGTGCAAAGGTTGCCCTGTAAGATAATGTTTCTCGGCTGGCAGCCCTGCACTGGGATGCTGAACGCACCCCGACACTGCAGCTCGGGTCGGGGGGATTTCTGGAGGTCTCCGGTCCAGCCCCCTGCTCCGAGCAGGACCCAGCCAGCACCCGGCACTCGGGGTCCTGCTCCGCTGAGCGTTGAGCGTTGAGCATCCCCCGGGATGGGAATCCCACGATCCTGATGGCAATCGCTTTGAGAAGCAGCCCTTGGGCCGTTTAATTGTTTCTTGGGGAAACATCAGTCACATCTTAAAGGGGTGGAGGAAAAAACCACCCTGTTAGGGTGTGCCTGGCTGGAAAATAAACATGGAGCTGATTGTTCCCAGACAGCTGATTTCTGAACGTCCCAAATGACTGACAGTTTCTCTGCCCTCACAGGTAAAAAGTTTCATCGAAACCCAGAAGGCTCTCCTGGCCGAGATCCAGAACGGCTGCAAGCGCAACTTCATCCTGGCCAAAGAGAAGGAGGAGAAGGAGCAGAAGCTGCAGCAATCGGCCTCAATGCCAGAGATCACTGTGATGGAGCCTCTGGAAGAGGGTCCAGCAGAGGACGGCCAAGAAGGCAGCGCTGCCTCCACTCCGGAAGAGGGGGAAGAAGCCGGAGAGACCCCGACGGCCTCGGAGAACGGGGACATGGAGCCAGCGGAGAACAATGACGGAGGCAACGTGACAGACTCCGATTCGGACACGGATGAGGAGGCGGATGCTGGGTTAGAGACGGGGGACTTGAGCGAACTGCCAAAACGCCCTGACTCTGCCGACAGCACTGCTGTGCCCCAGCC